ACACTCTTGTGGGACACTCTTGTAGGACACTCTTGTGGGACACTCTTATAGGACACTCTTGTGGATGGCTAGACAGATGAGACTTCAACGAACAGGAAATGTGGACATCGTCTACGACATGCAGCCAAGGCATCATGACCTGGACTATGGGGCCTTTACGGATCAAGTCGTGCCGAAAGCTGTTTGGCAATTGGGCTGAACACCTCTACCGTGACCTGGAACGAGCTTGGCAAGTCGGGAGCGCCTGTAGCCCAGGGACAGGTGGCAGCTGCTGCATATGCTATTCTGCATGAGCATGGCTGGGGACACTCTTGTGGGACACTCTTGTAGGACACTCTTGTGGGACACTCTTGTAGGACACTCTTGTGGGACACTCTTCTGGGACACTCTTGGTCACTCTTGTAGGAAACTCTTGTGGGACACTCTTGTAGGACACTCTTGCAGAGGTGAATGTCGCTGTCACATTGGGATTGGCGTGGGAGATTCGTGGCAGGCGCAGGGACTCGTGAGGGTGTGAGTTGGGGTAGAGAGGGATTGGCCTGTGAGCGAATGTTGGGACACTCTTGTAGGACACTCAGGACACTCTTGTGGGTCTCTCTTGTAGGAAACTCTTGTGGGACACTCTTGTGGGACACTCTTGTGGGACACTCTTATAGGACACTCTTGTGGGACACTCTTGTGGGACACTCTTACACGACACTCTTACACGACACTCTTGTAGGACACTCTTGTGGGACACTCTTGTGGGACACTCTTGAAGGACACTCTTGTAACACACTCTTGTGGGTCACTCTTGTAGGAAACTCTTGTGGGACACTCTTGTAGGACACTCTTGTGGGACACTCTTATAGGACACTCTGGTGGGACACTTTTGTGGGGCACTCTTGTAGGTCAACCTTATGGGACACTCTTGTAGGACACTCTTGTGAGACACTCTTGTGGGACACTCTTGTGTGTCACTTGCAGGACACTCTTGTGGGACACTCTTGTAGGAAACTCTTGTGGGACACTCTTGTAGGACACTCTTGTGGGACACTCTTGTGGGACACTCTTGTAGGACACTCTTGTGGGATACTCTTGTCGGACACTCTTAAGGGACACTCTTGTGAGACACTCTTGAGCGACACTGTTGCGGGACACTCTTGTGGGACAATTTTGTGGGACACTGTTGTGGGACACTCTTGTAGGACACTCTTGTGGGACAGTCTTGTAGGACACTCTTGTGGGACACTCTTGTGGGACACTCTTGTGGGACACTCTTGTGGGACACTCTTGTAGGACACTCTTGTGGGACACTTTTGTGGGACACTCTTGTGGGACACTCTGTGGGACACTCTTGTGGGACACTCTTGTGGGACACTCTTGTGGGACACTCTTGTAGGACACTCTTGTGGGACAGTCTTGTAGGACACTCTTGTGGGACACTCTTGTGGGACATTCTTGTAGGACACTCTTGTGGGAGACTCCTGTAGGACACTCTTGTGGGACACTCTGTGGGGCACTCTTGTGGGACACTCTTGTTTGACACTCTTGTAGGACACTCTTGTGGGAAATCCTTGTAGGACACTCTTGTGGGACACTCTTGCAGGACACTCTTGTGGGACACTCTTGTGGGACACTCTTCCAGCTCCCCAGATACTGCGCGTACTAAAGTTGTACTACAAGGTCGCCAGTTCTCACCTTCCAGCTCCGCAGATTGCTCCGCGCACTAAAGTTGCACTACAAAGTCACAGTTCTCATCTTCCAGCTCCCCAGATACTCCGTGGACTAAAGTTGTACTACAAAGTCGCCAGTGCTCGCCTGCATTTCGCGCGCTCGACACGCGCGATCTCTGCAGAGGGTTGCGCGGGCACCGGACAAATCGCACTCTCGCCTGCATTTCACGCACTCGAAACGCACGATCTCCTCAGAGGGCTGCGCGGGCACCGGACAAATCGCACTCTCGCCTGCATTTCGCGCACTCGACACGCACGATCTCCGCAGAGGGTTGCGCACGCATGGGACAAATCGCACTCTCGCCTGCATTTCGCGCACTCGACACGCACGATCTCCGCAGAGGGTTGCGCGCGCATGGGACAAATCGCACTCTCGCCTGCATTTCGCACACTCGACAAGTCTCCAAAACGAGCGTTTCGGTCGAGACTTCCTCAAAAACTCACACGTCAAAGTCTGCAAAACGAGCGTTTCGTACGAGACTTCCTCCAAAAGTCAAGCGGAAACACCCATCGGAGCACACACATCAGGCAGCCCTGCCAAGAAGTTTCGCGATTCCAGCCCCTCCAAACAACATCCGCTCACACGCCAATCCCAATGTGACAGCGACATTCACCTCTACCACAACGCACAACCTCACGATTCCCTGCACCTGCCACGAATCTTTCCGCGTCCACACGTCTAACGCGCACAAAGTACTGCGCCTGCCACGAAATGTAACCTCCGTCACACCTCGCAACCTCACGATTCCCTGCGCCTGCCACGAGAATCGCACTTCCACGCCTCAAAGCCCGCACAAAGTCCTGCGCCTGCCACGAAAAGTGACAATATCATCTCATGTGGGCTTCAACAAAATTTGCACCACACCACACGTTTGGAATGATTTCGACCCGTTCTGAGCACACTCCCATCCACCAAAATCGCCATTTCAGCTGAGACTTGTCACGAAAATCGAGCTTCGATGCCACACCCTGAAACGCAAATCCCAATGGCACGGCCACATCCAACACCCCAAAAACACGACTCTCCAAACGCTAATCCCAATGGAACTGCGCAGCAATCTGCGGATCTCACAAAACGCTGCACCTGTGCAGCGAAACGTATCACGTTTCTCGCGCGACATCTCCTGCTCCTGCAAATCCCAATGGATTAGCGGCGCCAACTGACACGTGACACGTCCATGCAAAGTCACTTGCAAAAGCTTCCCCCAATGGCAGCAAATTTGAGACGCGACGACGACGACAGACGACGACAGACGACGAGAGACGACGACAGACGACGACAGACGACGAGAGACGACGAGAGACGACGACACGACGCAAGCCACGCGAACACAGCTCCAACCCCCAGACCCCCAACTATAAACGGGAACCCTTCGCTACGCATTCGGGAAAAACGGACCCCAATTAAAAAAAAAAAGATGGAGCCCACGAACCCGAATGCAAACACATACGTCAAACCACTGTGTATAAAAAGAGACACAGCCGGTGGGAATCTCTTTTTCACTCTCTGACACGTTGTTGGACATCATGCGCTGGGGACTCCACCACCAAGGCAGCATGCGCTGGGGACTTCACCACCAAGCTCTGTCTTCATCATGAAGGATTTTTGTTTTGCATTCAAATCAAGCACTGGCGTAAAGGGTCTGGCAGATCCGCGGCACGAAAGAAACAATGGCATTGTCCCAAAATCTCCAAAATAAGCACTTGAAAATGATAACCGTCCACATACTACAGAGAAATCCACAATTGCGGCGTCTGATCTTCTTGTAAATAGGAGTGCGAGACCGTGCGTTGTTGTGTTTCACCTGCATCAACAAGAAGTATATGAGACACACACAACGGAAGTGAGTAAAACTATCCTATAGGTCATGTCATTAGGACACTCTTGTAGGACACTCTTGTGGGACACTCTTAGAAGACACTCTT